CTTCAGGGTTATGACAAGGGCGTCGTTAAGAGGAGTTACCACGCCTGTCAAGTCCGCATCAGAAAACGTGATGCTCGGCTCGCTAATCCTGGCCCTTTTACTGGGCGGCCCCCCCATCATTCTCGGCTATCTTTCTTGTAAAAGCTACCCTCTTGAGATCAGACTCGAGTTCTTTGGACGTGGGGCGATCTAGCGGACATACATGGATCACATCTATGACGTTGTCCGGCTCCTCGGTCGGGACTGGGGTGCGTCTCTCTTCCGGCTTGGGCTCTATGTATTCTTTTAAGTATCCGTCTCGGACCAATCTTTCCAAGAAAGATTTGTATACCCTACCGCTTTCGGTGCGATGGCCGAAATTTCGGTGATATAGGAACACCTGACCTTTTGATCACGGGTGGAGGGATCGCTCTACATCCTGGGCGGCCACTTGAAGAATGGCTCATGCTTGATCTTATGGAGCAACTTGTAGATGGGTTCTTTGAACATAGTGTGAACTCCTTTGAATGACCTCCCGGAGGGGGTAACAGTCCCTTTCGGAAAGTATCCTCCCGTTCCCTCTCTTTTCTCTTAGGTTAGAGGGTTCTACCTTTGCTGCTTCTCATCTCGTCCTCGATCCTAGAGTACTTGTTTATCCGGGCCATTAGCTCGCCCATATTCGAGGGAGTCTTTTTGGTCAGAGATCGGTACAGGTCCGTGTCCCTTGCCAAGCCGAGCCTGAAAGACGCCGCTGCCATGATTTCCGAGCAGCCCTCTACCTCATTAACCTCTTCCCAGTACCAGATGGCGTACTGGCGAAGGGTCTCGAATTCCCTCCGTTTGAGCGTTAGCAATGATCCAACGTCTTTAGGCTGCTTACTCCCCATAATGAATCGGGCCAGGAATTGCCTCGTCAATTCTTTCCATGATCCAATGCTGTTGGGGGGAAGCGCCTCAAACCACTTCATCGCAGAGTCCCCCAAGCTCATGGGAAACACTCGGCAGAGGAACCGTTGGTCTGAATGATACAGGGACATCATTTGCTTGTATTGCCTGAGTGGGCTTCGGGATCGGACCGCCCATCATAAGTTTTGAACCTCGGCACAACGAACTTTTTTAGAACCTCCATCTCTCCGATATCCCTAGTAAAGGGTGTTTGTATGACCTCGTCTTCGACCTCATCCTGGACAGCCTTACTCTTTCTCCTAGATTTCAACCGAGCTCTAAGATCAACTTCCTCCCCAACGGGATGTCTTCTGAAGTCTCCGAGTTCATCAATAGGTCCCCCATTTCCTGGGAGTCGTGTAGATAGGGTTGAAACCTCCTCGGACTCATCTCCCTTCCTCCGTCTTGACAATCCTCGCCGGAGGTCGTCCAGGGCTAAAGGTCTTGCCTTCCTGGAATGGTCGTTAAGAGGGTGCTCGTTGGCTCTTGGTCGCTTTGGGGCTCTGGAGCTTTCTGCCTTGTTATTTAAATGATTTCTCAGATCCTTCGTTTCCACCTCCCGGGCGAGGAGTCCACGAGAAAGGAATGAGTCCCTCGATCCTTCGTTAGAGGCGGCNCTGCCTCCCGGGCGGGGGAGTCCACGAGAAAGGAATGAGTCCCTCGATCCTTCGTTGGAGGCGGCGAATTCGTTGAGCCGGCTTAGGACGTTCACATTGTCTTTTCCCAACTGTCGTAATCAATCTCCAAACTTTTCTTCGATCACCTCCGCCAGTTGACGAGCTAAGGGGGCGGATCCTCCTGACCTGATGCCCATACTGGTTTGAGGAGTAAGCCCTCTTGACTGAATATAGACATTTCTATTGCCATCAGTGTGATCCTTCCCTCCATTATGACATGGAGCTCGTAATTCAAGACTTCTTTGTTGGGGACCTTTCCCTTTTTATCGAGTATTCACCATGGTCACTGTTCTTTATAGAGAAGAAACTAGGAAAACTAGTCGTGTTCCCACAGACGGCGCCAGATTGTTCGTACAGGATCTTGCACAATATAAACACGAGAACAAATCTCTCCCTTGGTGAACTCGAGTGAGTCAATCAAATGGTCGACCTTGCTATTTAGAACAGGCTGAGATCCGTTGGTGGCCTGGAACGGTAATGGGTGACTTTCGTGGATCAAGGGAGCGGTCTAGTAAGACTGAGGGAGGTTCCTGGAACAGAGAAAGACAAGTTAGAAGGGCGTCGGAGTGTTTTTCGGCGTATCCCCTCCGACGATCAAGTCAGTTTTTGAGAGAGGGGAAGAAGAAAATACTGAGTATAGGTTTTAGAAAAGGTTTTTCGTTGCATACCTTCTTTCCTTTTGTGAGGAGTATTTATATCTCAAAAATTCATGATTGCTGTCAGTGTGGTCAATAGATGATCATTAGATACGGGCAACGTGCGCACTGATTCCTATGAGGAATGTCTTCTCTTTTAATTGCTCGAAATCCCAAGCAACCAATGTTGTGTCATTGGCCTGCCGAATATTTAATGAGCTGCTCTCGGCAAGGATGTGATAAATGTTCAGTCTTAGGGACATTTATTACCTTTCACTTTCGAGCCTTACCGCATTAAATGCTGTCTCATCAAGGGAATGGTGTAATTAAATGATTGCTTTCCCAAGTCGTGTGTCAGCGAGGTCATCCAGTCCTTTTGTCTATGATGTGACACAATATGCCACGCGCCCATTCCCCATTGGCTGTGTCTTCTGTCTTCTTGTGCCTTTTGACACCAATTGTGTAAGACGAGGTCATGATGACTAACCTAGCCTAACCTAGGCTAGTGACCTGTACATCAATAGCCTCTGCAGGAGCAGAGAACGCCATCCTAGACGGGTATATCTTGGTACCGAGGGGAGTGGTACATGTAGGGACCGATGTACCCATACCCGACCGAGGGATACGTGTCGGTACGTAANTAGATGGAGTAGTGAATAATCGTATAAACATTAAATTTCTAAAAAACCCTCAAGATAAAGAGTGATATTTATATCCTAAATACTTAAAGAGTAAAAATATCTTTTGGCCAAATACATCCTAATTGGACTATTTAAACCCACCAAAACAGGTGGGTTTATTTAAGAGATCAGTAATGCTACACTAACCAAATTTAAAATTCAAATGNGCTGTCATTGATTCCTATGAACAGTACCTCGGGGGGAGAGAGACTTGTGATCCGACGGATACATGTCGTGATTACAATAACAAGAATTTACTGATGTCGAGGACACGTGTCTTCATATTGGAGTATTTTGAAATGTCCCATCAAAATATTTGTAAAAATAATCATTTATTCGACATAGACAAGTTATCCTTGGATGACATTTATATGGCCTGCTGCAATCAGAAGATAGCGAGGAAGTTCAAACCAATAGAGTCGACTTGGAGACCTATAACCTGATACAGAGGGAGATTCGGGATGTGTCCGGTGGACACCTCCCTATAGGTGTTAATCTATTCTAGAACAACAATCAGTTGGATTCCCTGACCCAAACAATAATAACGGATGGCTTGACCCAGGGAAAAAAAACACAAGGTTGAATACTAAGATAATCATTCATTAGTATCTATCTTGTCACGTGTAATTGTCCAAACATCCACTCATATTTGGTGTAAGGGACAAAAAAAAACAAGGCTGAATGGATGAAGATCGTGTCAATTCAACCCAGTTGAGTTATAGTCCATCCTAACGGTATTATGTTGTATTTTTAAGTTCGTCTTCGATGATGAAGACCCAAACTCCACACAAATTTAAGTTAAAAAATAGACAAAAAACTTGATTTGATACAAAATATTTCAATGAAGAAACTTTAAAGAGGACAAATTCAAATTTAAATAAGAATAAGTCCAAATTTAAACCAAGATGGAATATGTTCATTAAATCTTTAAAAAAGAATGAAATTTAACTATTGTTAATTTAAATGTTTTACTCATTTAAATTTGAGGTTAAAAAATGATAAAGATCAAAGATGTCCTAACAAGATGCACTTATATTTGGTTTTAGGATCATTATCTCGTCTAGTGATAAAAACATCAGGCTAACATTGATGAAAAAATATCGAATATAATTGTCCCTATCTGAAATGTAAGAAGGAGCGAATTATGTCGGTAATGTTGTCTATTTTTTATCCATTCATCTGACCCTTGGACTAATTATATAGTGATAATCCCTCACATCCCATAGTAGTGGAACCCACATTATCCCATGTAATACTTTGTTTAGATGGAGTAGTGAATAATCGTATAAACATTAAATTTCTAAAAAACCCTCAAGATAAAGAGTGATATTTATATCCTAAATACTTAAAGAGTAAAAATATCTTTTGGCCAAATACATCCTAATTGGACTATTTAAACCCACCAAAACAGGTGGGTTTATTTAAGAGATCAGTAATGCTACACTAACCAAATTTAAAATTCAAATGACATGACAACTGACTTGAACTTATTTATTTAGTGTCATGTCATTTAAACCTCAAAGACTCCAAATAATATATTGTTATGTCATTTGGGCTCCAAATTTTGTCAACGTACCATTACTGTTAAGAGATTGTATGTAGTATTAAATATACTATTCATCGAGGCCGATATTATTTTTAAGTGATAATATCAAACCTAAAATGTGTATCCAAACATAAGTATAAAAGGTATAAAATGGGCCCAATATTCTCTTTTTCAATCCCTCTTTGCTAATACCTATACTGTGAACAACATAGTCCAACAATATTGCTATTGTACCAAATTACTGCATTAAGAATATAATTGACCCACAGAGATCAGTTTTTCAAATCAAAATGCAAAATCTACATGAAACTGACTGTAAGTCTGATTGCAGTTGAATTTCTTAAACGGGATTATTGAGACAGAAGAAGAAAAATGTGGGGTGATATTTGTAACAAACCTTCAAACAGGGCATATTCAGATCCGGACTTGTATTAAGAAAAATGCTATTTGAATTTAAAAATATTGATATGATTTACTAACTTGATCAATCACAACCGTTAAATAGATAGTGAATCCCAATATATGCTGAAACTCACAGTTAAATCAATGACAATGATTAATTAAATTAGAAAATTATGTCGGTATTTTAAGTCTAAGTAGCATTGCTCTTGTATTAAATACAGTATTCAAGTTGGAGTATTTTCATCCAACAACTTAATAGGACCTGACTAATGGAAGATTCAAGAGTTACAAAAATCCCAACCCAGGTTCTGAATATTGGTATGCCATCACCATTTGTTTTAATGGCAGGCATTCATAGACTCGGAAAGATTTCAGATTTGAACAACAAGTTGAAATGGTATCTCCAGGTCCTCTTTCCCCCATTTCTCTAAAGCTGGAAGGTAGGTGTCACCATGTCATCTCAATTTATTTTTTGAACCACATATACATTCGGGGAATGGATTTTGGTAAAAGGATTCTTCGTATCTGAACCGTGCTCGGCCTTTGATTCCAGGAGGAGCACCTCCTCTTTTTCGGGGAGCTCCTTGCCTGTAATTGCAATCCGTCAGAGCTGCATCCTAATCTCTGATCCTTAATTTTATTTCTAGTTATAAAAGGGAAACAACAGGATTATTAATATAACCACTTTGTATAAGAAAAAAACTATCGATCCATTCGTGTTTTACACACACGAGCATTTCAAACCAAGTCCATTGGGGGCACATGACACAAGCTGGACCAGGATGTAACTTCATTTTACTGTGGCATCAAAATTGTTTTAAACACCAATTTTATTTGTTCTTCTTGACAAACTCACATCCAAAGATGGACTAGAATGTTCAACTGCGGTATAAGTAGACACAGCAGACGGATTATTCCACAGTAAATCCAGAACCCCAATAAAAACAAAACATGTGTTTCATCTTAGCTATATCTATATCTATACTACTATAAAATGTCAATATCTATGAAAAACTTTTGAATTTCTAATTTACCCTTAAACTATTGTTTAAAGACAAAATTATCTTACCCCTTCAGTTGATCGATAGTTACTGTATCAGATAGACAAATGTAGCAAAATTGTAAGGTCAATTTCAAACAATAAATATGAAGTTGCCAGGCTTTTAGTTGTTTTGGTTTTTATTTCCAAAATTCATTAATTTTCATTAAATACAAATTAAGTGGGAAAAATATTATGCTTCTGCTTCTCACATACTATCTTTGCAACTTCCTGGTTTCCGTCTCAACAACTTCTCATTTACTCAGTAAAGGTTCACTTCTTTTTAACTTCTCTTCTCTATTTTAATTTAATTATTGTTGTGATTCACATTTGAGTACTATATTTTTACATAACCCCTTCAGATTCATGCGTAGAAGAATCCTCTTCAACTATAACTCTTTTTTTTTTCTTTGTAAATTGATCACAGTTTTTGGTTATTGGGTGTTTTTCTCATGTGGTCATGTGATTTTTGTTGTTTCAGGAGATATATTTGGAGGATGATGAAGTAGAGAACCCCTGATTCTAAAGCCATGGCTGCCCAAGTTTATTATTGCAGCATATATGCATATTGCCAAAAGAACTTCTGACCAGATCCTATTAGTATTTTGATTCTAATATTTTGGAAGCTTATTTCTCATTCTATGATATCCATTTGAACAAATGCAGACATGGTTCATTAATATCTATTTGTAATGTTTGCATTTTTTTGTTTAATTGCAAACATGAATTATGATGCTCTGCTTTACATCAACACTGAAAAGTATCCAATGGTCTTTTGTAGCTCTATGTTGTACACTTAGGCGGACATCGTTTATGATAGTTTATGGTGTTTTACTTGACATGCAATTTGATCAGTCTCAACTGGGTAGCCAACACGAATATTCCCTCCACCCACATTCATTGTCATTTTGTGTGGAGCTATGAGAGTTAAAGATCAATTAAATCGGTTGCGAATTCTCAAATTTTGGGTGGCATTCCAGTTATGAGCCCAACGCATGAAGGATTACTTCCTGGACCAAATAAAAAGTAATTTTTTAAGACAAGTACCAAGTGTATGGCTCATGTGAAAGTCAAAGTGAGAAAATAATAGTATTGCCAAACAAATAGTATTGGTCTCAATGCTACAGAAGAAAATAATTGCAAGGTAGAATCTAGTGAAAAAAAAATGATTTTCACCATTCAAGGATTATGTTTTAAAGAAGAACAAATGCTATCTCGTCTAATTTTAGTGCTGAATTTCTTCTCCAACTTTTTTGTTCCTTCTTACACCTACCCTTTGGTAGTAGTCAATTAATTGGTTGGCTTGTGATATTCCTATTTTTTTTACAGATTCTATATACATTGAAAGCGTTACTTCTTACCGGTGAAACCCTTTTTTTCAAAGAAAGGGATAAGAAATAAACTAGCATGTTAGTTTCACGTTACTGGTGTTGAATTCCATGTTAGTTTCATTTTTTTTTCCTACGAGTGTTGTGGTTATTCATCATTGGAAATTGAGACTTAATGCCATTCAATTGTATTTGATTAATGGGTGTTGTTTTGACTTATGTTTCTTGGTGAGGGAATCCTGGCAATGGAAGGATTATCAGAGTTTGGCTTTAAATTTCTTACAGTTTTGGAAGTTGGATGTTTGAAGATGTCCCTTAGATTGGAATTGTGAGGTATAATTCCATTTGTCACCTGAAATGATTCACATACAACGCAAGTGTGCAACAACTAGTAATAATAAAAAATATCATGATGAAGATGGATAAAAAATACCAACAGAAAGTTGCAACCAAATTACCTGTGCTTGTGTAATTGCATCACCAGATATGACAAAGACGATCCTTCATTAAGCTGTCCAGTTTCCAACTTGTCAAATATTTCCACAAGACCTTTCCTGCAAAAAATATTGGGAATACAATTGGTATGAGATACAGAAGAACTAAATTGTTCGAACGAAATATTCGAAACACCCCCTCCATCCCCAACCCCCACAAAAACAAAAACAAAAACAAAAACGTGAAAAATAATAATAATAATAGAAGAAAGAAAAGAACCCAACACCCACAAAAGAAAACATGTTAGCAATAGAGACTACTTTCCTCACAAAGCATCACAATTTGGCAGCATGCCTCAGAATAATGTGACTTTATTGTGACGAAAGCTAGAATGTATGTCATGGGGAACACTCCTGCTACGTTGTATTCCCCTCTGTCAAGGAAGAGAAAATAACCCACATACACGAGCGAAAGCTAATCTCCATTTTCAGGGTTAATTAAAAAATCTAGCACTACAATGATTGGTGACACAGTAGTTTAGACTTTAAACTGCTGCTATATGACATGTACTTCTAAAGAAGTAGCTTCTATTGCAACAAGTATAGCCCAAGCAAACAGAAGAATCAGCCATTAGACGTTACTTCAATGGAAGTAAAACTTAATTATGAAGATAAAATGTTGCATATGATCATCCTAAAAAGAGGAGCTAATAGGAACAGAAGCTAAGTTCATATGGAGCCATTGAAGCAACAGGGCTTGGGCCACCAAACCATGGGGTCTCAGTTGAGCAGACAACCCAGGACTTGGGATAGAATTTTTCTTTTTTCATTTAATACAAAAATGTGAGATGTTAACGACACAAATTATATGTCAGTTTTCAAACTTTTTCTGAATTCCTGTTTGTCCTCTGAAAGAATTGAGCAACATGTTATCTATACCTGTCTGGAGTGAGTGTCTTCCGGTGGCCTAAAAATCTGCGATGCCCCTCAACAGCTCTTGCCATGTTACCAGAATATGATGGAATGAATACGTCACTCTCTACCGAGATGATATAATCTAGTGCGGCAGTTTGAGTTGCATGCTTGGCAAATTCTTTCAGTTCTGCTTGGGTTGCAACGTTTTCCTGTCATCAATCAGACACTCAACTCGTGGTTGAACAAAATGGCAGCCTTGGCAGCAGCAAACTATTTAGCCTATGTGTCCAGACAAACCTTGAAAACTACATTTGGGAAAAAAGAAGTGAGCTCCGAAAGGTGAGTGTCACCACCATAAATTTCTCCCGCAGCTATATAAATTAATGTTGATGGAGGATAACCGTGAGCTTGAAGAAATAGTCCAACCTCCTTGGGAGTTAGTGGACAGAAACCTCCTATCCTCTGTTCGGTTGAGTTTATCTTCTTTATTTTCCAGTGGTTTGTGTTCTCCCTAGAAACCGATGAAATGTAAGGAACTGATTCACAGTGTTCCACCAAAACGGAAAGAAAATGCCTGTGTGATGATTATGTGTATAATTACGATCCCCGCCCCCACTAGAGATAATCCAAACCACTTGATCCACAAAAGTTTCCAGACAAATGTGTTAAACAGTTGGAGAATCCAAATGAATCTTCTAAAAACTTTCACAAACTTCCAGAATTAATTTCAAACTCGACCATTTAAACTTTGCTTTAACCGATTCCGATATTTGAAAACAAATTTAGACAAAAGTTGAAATATCAACCTTGTGTCAGTCTTGTCCAGGGCAATATATTTTGCCAATAATTGAAAGACACAAAATCCATAGAATAAGGGTAAGTGCACCCAGGAGCTCCAGAACATCCAAGGCAGTGGCAGGAAGATTGGCACTTCTAAACCAGTCACAAGACATGTCTATATGCATGTAAATGTTTATGAAGATCACTGCACAAAACATTTCACCTCATTATTCTCAGCTCCTCAGATTCTGCATGACTAAGACCATAAGTACATCCAGTGAAAGATAGCATGTCTTTCTCGTATCTCAGATGAAGAGCAATGTATCTTCCAGCACGCAATCTCAGCCGTTCCACCAGCTTCTGTGGTTTCACCGTCATGCATGCTCAGAACCTAGTTTAACAGGAATCCCCATAGGAGACCTCTTAAATGCATGTGTAGTATACATACACATACGTTTTATTCCAACAAATATTAATAGATTTGGAGGGAAGTGTCGAATTTTGATGGAATACCAAGTGCATCACATTCCATTTTAATCTTAACTCTTTCAAAAAATTTGTACAATTTAATTTTTTTTCACTAGAACCATATTTGTTGTCGGAAATCTCACATTTTTATGAAATTCAAAAGAAAATTCAGAACCTTGTTAATTAGTTTTACTGGGACTGCATACTGCCACAATTCAATACCTTATTAGGATATCACGCAGATTAAAAATGGAAAAAGGGATAGTTCTAACCTTCCCCAGCTTCTCAATTGGGGGAGAGAAGCGCAGAGAATGATACAGAGCACGGCATCTCAATCTCTGGATATCAAGGGGCAGATCATTGTTTGCAAGTCGAGAATCTGATTTTGGAACATGAATCACCTGCAGACAATGAATTGATGAGCCCTCCCTCAAGCTCAAAGGGTCAACTTATATAAAAAATAAGAAGGGAAAAATATATAAATGATTGAATATATTCTGAGAGGTACTTTATGCAATCTCAATGAAGCAAGGCTTATTCCTACTTACACTCCCAGGCNAGAAGGGAAAAATATATAAATGATTGAATATATTCTGATAGGTACTTTATGCAATCTCAATGAAGCAAGGCTTATTCCTACTTACACTCCCAGGCAGAAAATAGCAAAAATCTTGTTCACAATTAATAATCTGAATAAAAACATAAGTTTGGGCTTTTGACACCACATGGAACTGAAAACAATTCCACTTATCTAAAATGACTATCCAAAATATGTTCATGCGGTGATATTTGATCTTTCCAACAGTACTACCCTGTACATAGTCTATATATATAGGGCATACTTTACTGGAGAGATAGACACGGGCGACAGAGAGGTCCCCAAATTTGATTCCCTCCCCCTCCCCTTCAACATGTCCGATCCAAGTTTGAAAAACTTAGTGAATATTTTGTTGAATGTAAAATATAATCATTTTATAAAAGTGATGCAGTTTTGAAATTTTCTCCAGAGTTGTTTTTCCTGTGGGGGGAGGAATGTGATGTAGTACGAAATTAACTTGCCTGATATTCCTTCCATAATTGTGTCATCTCCTCATAATAGCCCATACTAGACCACAAAGTGAAGTGCTTCCTGGCTCGAGTTACGGATTGTAATTCCTTAGGAAGCTCCTTCACAATCCTCACATCTTCTTGTAAAGTTGTGATGAAATGCTGTTCATCAAATATATCTGAAAATATACTGCACACGAGCCAATTACAAAAAAAAAAGAAAGTTTAAGTGGTCTTAGATACAATAAAATTTGGATATTACAGGTCAGAAAGTAAATAGGATGTGTATGCAGACTACTGAATCTTAGAGATGAAAAAGTAGTTATATATTGAGAGAGAGGGATTGAAGTAGCAGTAGCACAGAACTCAAATAACCTTGTATCTTGCCAGAATGAACGCTTGTCCAGTTGAGGAATAACTAGGGTTGCATTCATTATGCGTGCCACAGCCACCATATCAGATATCTATAAGCAAAACATGTTTTCAGTATTTCAAATGACAAACAAGAAAAACTAAGTTGAATTGAGTGAGCAGAAAGGCACTTATTTTTTGGCTTAAACAATATGGCATGTCAGGAATCCGAGATCTTTAGATAAAAACTGTATGCACAACCTATGAAGCATGGACACTCTCAAGAAGATGACGCATCCGTATTGGACACTGACACTCCTCGAACATGTATCCGATACTCTTTTATCCGTGTCCAAAATTAAATAATAAAATTTTATTTTCGGACACGTCTCCGACACTTCTTTATGTCGTGTCTACTATGAAACAATAAACATTGGTTGACATGTGATTAACAAAGCTTAAAAATTTGACTACTAAGTATCTTTATCTTATGTTATGAGAGAACATATAATTATCAAAAATAAACATATTAAAGTTATACTCAAAATATAATAACAAAAGAAAAAGATACATAAAAGATCTAGAAAAAAGTAATTGAGAAAATGAGAGCAATTATTTAATTTATATATGCTTGGTGCACATCTATCAAAAAAAATTGATGATTATTGAATATTATGATGTTAGTCTAAAAATTCACACTAGATAACTAGACATAACATTTACTTATCATAAAATACTGATTTTTTTTTTGAATAATATATCATTATCACTGTACTTGTGATAAATAATATAATATAATATAATATATATATATATCATAATTATTTGTAGCGTGTTTCTAATATCTCCATGTCATGACGTATTCGGGTTCCATATCCATGTCCATGCTTCTTTGTGCANTATCATAATTATTTGTAGCGTGTTTCTAACATCTCCATGTCATGACGTATTCGGGTTCCATATCCATGTCCATGCTTCTTTGTGCACAACTGTTGGATTTTTCAATTTCCATAAAATATCCATTAAAAAAAAATAATTAAGCCTTTTTTTGTTTCAACTCATACATCTACAATTTATGGCTGGATGACTCCGGGAAAAAAGGATACATGACTTCAAAATTGAATTGCCGCAAAAGCAAATAAAGAACCAGCCATGTCAGCTGCCAACTTCTCCTATGGAACCATAAAAGAGAGCATCATCCCCTTGTGAGAGAAAAATTATACTGATGGCATCTCGGTATGTTTATTGACTGGGTATGTTTATTGACTGGTTAGAGTCATAAGACAAGTGTGAAAGGTTTCATAAGTCAATTGATCGGTGACCACACATCACTTATTTGGCCAGATAAAAGTGTATGGTACTTTTTTGGGTCCATTAGTGGTTTAGATTTGAGTGCTATCAAACTAAAGACTTTGCCAGTTAGATTTGATATTCTAAACCAGACAAAAACACAGCTTACTGCCCCGAACAACAAAGATTGTCCAGCTTATGCTAGTCCGGTTGTGACAAGACATTCTTCACATCACTAGAAAGGTATCATCCAGTCTACTGTGACACAATAATTATTTCTGTCAGTGCCTTTTTCATCTTTAAATATATTACTATTCATACAGATGATAGAACATAGTCCACCAAAAGGAATATATCAGGACAATAACCTTTTCCCTTATTCAATCACCCTATACCAAAATTGAACTTGTTCAACTCTATGATGTACAGTGACTCTACTAGTATTAGATTAAGTTTCACTGCCAGAGAAAAGAAGTAAAGATCTCTCTTTCTCAGGTCGGGGTAAGAATATCAACTCACAGTTTCTTCTAGGGGGGAAGAGTAGACAAGGCTGAAACCCACACCTACTTGCAGGTGACATAGTCCCAATGGCCTCATCAATAATAATAATAAAGTTCTTGAGACCATACTTCCCTCTGGGATACCATGCTAGTACTTTTAACATTATGTTGCAAAGCTCTGGCGTAAGTCTTTTGTATTATCATAACTAACACGAATAATTTGACCCCTACCGCTAATGACAAATTAAAAGGTCAGACACATGGAGTGTCTATCAAACAGCTGTGTTCAGTTAGCAAGAGCTGCCTTTATATCATTAGTTTCTTAATTAACAAATAGCATCTGAAGCATGTGAATCTGCATATTTGGACCACATAAGATACGCATAGATCTTGGAAGACCTTAAACAAATAGATGGCAATACTAACCCCTGTGCGCATCTGATTCAATCCCCCATTACTTCTCACAGTTATATATCGTTCCCATCTATCAGCAGCTGCAGATGTAAAACGGATTACAAGTAGAGAAATTCAAAGAATGAGTGAGATTGTGAAGCAAATCTGTTTCCACAGCTCAAACCCCCGCATCATGTTAAGCAAGCCAAAATTGAAACATATTGAAAACTATCATGCACTAGACCAAATGGAAAAAAACAAAAAAATCAGAAGTCTAGAACATAAGGTAAGCACTTTACATTCCTTATTAACTAGTGGTCCTAGAAAGCATCATAAATGCATTTCCCATGAGCATAAGCTCTTTGTCTAAGGTAAAACAAAACCAACTATCAGTACAATAGAGACAGTAATAGTGAGATGAAACCTTTATATTTGGCAGTAGGTTTGACGCATGGACGGAAACCGTAGCTAAAAGGAGCACCCCAGAGTTGTTCATTTGGCCGCTGCAAAAACTGAGGCAGTATAATCTCATTATAATAAAATAACACTGTCATTTAATTCTCAATCATTTGTGGGAGTAAAATATTCTGCTAAATCTCCTCTTTATCTACAAAGAATGCCAGTATGCCAGTTATTACTACAATAAGAGTTGCAAGTTAATGATAGGAGTCTCAGATACAGCTTCAGAGGCCCAAAATTATAACTTAAATCCATTGGGGGATTTTTCTTTTTTGTACAGGCAACAAAATTAATTCTCTTTCTACTAACCAATGAAGAAAAATAGATTCCAAGAGAAATATGATGATTAGCAAATATGGAAAATAAAAGTAACAAAAGCGAAACAAATAGTAGCTCAGAGCCCCAATTGTAGTTTTTTAAAGCAGTAACCTGAAGTTAAGCATCCTGCTCGAATAAATTGAATACATAATGACATGGAATAGGCATTATGGAACACTACAAACTCAAGAGTTCGTATAATGTTTGTTTTTGTTCTAGTTTTTTTTTAAGTTATTATATTCTACATGTCACATGTACTTATGTGAAGACCATATACCCATTTAGTGGAGGTAGTTTGCACCTGGGAGGGAAAACATTGCTGTGCAACTAATGTACTTTTTAGCTATGTCTGTTTCATCTGAAGTGTTTCCTTTGATGAACATAAGTACATTAAATGTTGAAGTATTGTCAGGGCTAATATCAAACTTAACTAAAGATAATATCAAGCACAATCATTCTATCTTTCATTTATGGTGCCGATACACCCCAAAATTGTCAAGGACCTTGAGCAATGGCAAGTGCCTATATATCCCCAAAATGTAATATAGACAAGAGTTGTTGAGGGAGGAATTTGTTTATAAAAATAAATAGCAAAAATTAAAAAACAAAACAATGATGAAAGACTTAGGATTGAATATGTTCAAAAGTTGGTTATATAAAATATTTCATAAATTGCACAAGTATGTTTTCATTATATTTTGATTTACTTATTTCTATATTTCAATGTACATTGATTCCACAGGTAATGTAGATTTTTATCCAAATTATAGTGTAGAACTGAGTATTTCAGAGAATTTGTTGCTTGTTATTGACTTAAAACTTACTTTTCACTGTTTACCGGATACGACATTTCGATTAACAATAATAATTTTTGTTTATTCATAAATTGGGAAGTTGATACTACAAGTAAATTATCCAACGGTTATAATCAAATATCATTGAGGGAATATGCCTCAGCTTGACATAAAAAGTAAATGTGTATTATACTAGAACAAGTAGAAATTAAAATGAAACTCCTGATGAAATTACGTTTTCATATAAGCCCTTGCTTAGATAGAATGCATATTTTTTCATTTCTTCTTGTTATCTTTCTATTTTGAGGAAAATGGCCCAGGCCCACCCTGCTTTAATTCATAAGGATCAGAGGTACTGTCACTGACATATAAAACGAGGTAACATGCCCACTTACACTGATTCTTATATCAAACCTTGGAATTGCTAACGCCAACTGTTTTGTTTGTTAATTTTGAAAGCCTTTAGAAACTCTATAACTACATCAGAAAGAAGTGACTATGCACCTCTTCAGCCCTAGGGAGCCAGCAATGGGCACCATTGAGAAAGACTAGCTTGAGGAATCAATATTTACCACCTTTCCCAGATCCCATCATCCGTGGTAACACGAAAAAACTTCCACTTTATACACCTTTTTGTCCACCGACTAACAATTGATCGCACTAAAACTTTAGCATTTCTTAACAAAGGCCGCACCCAGGATGTTCATGTGTTCGTGATAATGTCGATCTGCAGCAGTAGCAATTTAAGTCCAAACAAGCTTTGACCATCTACTCCTTTGACCATCTACTCGGAAAAGGGGAGTGCATAACACAAGAACTATGTAAAATAGGTTGAGGGACAGATTAGGAATGATGTCACTCAATCTGGTGTGAAAGTGTTGCCTGTTATGACACTAACCCACGAAGTTTTGTCAAGCAGGGAATGCAATGGTGCATAAGAATAAGTTTTGAGCTTTCATTGTATGATGTGTTTTAAAACCATGTATATCTAGCCTAAATTGGACAATATTGCACAATGCAGGACTGAAGCATTCTAACTGGCATCAAAGTCATTTGACCGTTGTAGTGTGGTACAGTAGGGTACAACGAGTGGCCAGGCCATTAGAATGTCAATGCTGCCAAAGCACTAAGCTAGCTAATACAAAAGGTCTATGTTTGAAAATATCTGCAAACCTGGAAGAAAATGTCTGCTATCATACGGATGGAAAACTGAAACTGGACAATATCATACCAAAGAAACTTACACTATCATAACAAATACTAAACTTTGAGTTTAAATTCTACAGAGGTGGTTAAAATAAAAGCACTAACTCCCACATTACAGACACTTAAAAGGCTGGACCTCGAGGATTGACCAATTAAACTTTCCCCAGCTTGCCTAAATCTAGAATACATATGATTCTACAAACAAGGATTTGCTGCAAATTCAGAAAGTTTTTCTCATGAAGTAATATAAATATGCCTAAGGGGCGCATAACCTGCACACATGGTGCAGTTTTTTTTTCCTCCTTTTCTGAAAGTCATACAGTTTGAAATGTTGTGTTAGACACTCATGTAAGTATGTCACTCTCCTTCTTACATAGAGTATAGTAAATCTGTTGCTTTGTGATGTGTCTTCTTTTGATGTTTATTTCTTCCTGATACGATCTCTTACAAGGCTAGAGACTTCCTCATCTATGCAGTGTCGAGAGAACAAATAGGAAATGTGATAAAAAAAATATAATTGATGATGCCAAGAATAAATTCATGTGATAAACAAGTCTGCAGCAAAACACACTAACTGGATGACATGATGCTAGCCTGGCTGACCTGATCCACCAGCATCCAGGTCAGCTAAGGCATGAACCAGCTCAGCAGTCCTCAAATGAACTCGATTTACCTAAGGCAGCTCAACTCAGAAAAAGGCAAAAGGACAGAAGAGGAACTACACCATCAAATCTTGTCTTGGAATGAAGAATCTATCTCTAGACTATCAAGTCATACATAGGGAAGAGTGTCTCTAACTGCCTAATATTCCCTCCAATATCCTAACAAACTAGGGAACCACCCCATCATTGCTTGAGGGCTACACTACCCCAGGACATAAGTAGGCAAGCCCTTGGCTTGTCCAAACAATGAGCAATTGCAATCTCAAAAAAAGTGCAATCTTCTTCTTCTCCAAGTAATACAAACCACTAGAGTAGACTAGCCAGCTCTTCAGCTTGGTAAACAACTTAATTCCTTGTGTTTTTGCTTATTGTTAACATGTTCACACATGCTTGTCCACGGCACAGCAGAGCTCTCTCAGCTCACCCTCCTACTTCTCAGTTTCACGCAGCATCAATAATAATATCTCTTTCTTCTCAATATCCCATTTCGTATTTGTGACTGCCAAAAAATTAATTTAAAACAATCTCTCTTCAATTGGAATATCTGTTAACAAGCAAATGCAATGATGATGACCCAGTGCTCAAGTTTAATCCCACATTCAGATGTACCAATTTCAGCAGCTATCAGAACTACAATTCCACAACAGTAATACCCAATACAGAAAACAATTCTGCAAACTACCAAAGTGACAATCTTTCTCAAAAATTAAATCATAAGATCAAAATTTCCTGAGCNATGCCTAAGGGGCGCATAACCTGCACACATGGTGCAGTTTTTTTTTCCTCCTTTTCTGAAAGTCATACAGTTTGAAATGTTGTGTTAGNAACACATATGCCTAAGGGGCGCATAACCTGCACACATGCTGCAGTTTTTTTTTCCTCCTTTTCTGAAAGTCATACAGTTTGAAATGTTGTGTTAGACACTCATGTAAGTATGTCACTCTCCTTCTTACATAGAGTATAGTAAATCTGTTGCTTTGTGATGTGTCTTCTTTTGATGTTTATTTCTTCCTGATACGATCTCTTACAAGGCTAGAGACTTCCTCATCTATGCAGTGTCGAGAGAACAAATAGGAAATGTGATAAAAAAAATATAATTGATGATGCCAAGAATAAATTCATGTGATAAACAAGTCTGCAGCAAAACACACTAACTGGATGACATGATGCTAGCCTGGCTGACCTGATCCACCAGCATCCAGGTCAGCTAAGGCATGAACCAGCTCAGCAGTCCTCAAATGAACTCGATTTACCTAAGGCAGCTCAACTCAGAAAAAGGCAAAAGGACAGAAGAGGAACTACACCATCAAATCTTGTCTTGGAATGAAGAATCTATCTCTAGACTATCAAGTCATACATAGGGAAGAGTGTCTCTAACTGCCTAATATTCCCTCCAATATCCTAACAAACTAGGGAACCACCCCATCATTGCTTGAGGGCTACACTACCCCAGGACATAAGTAGGAAAGCCCTTGGCTTGTCCAAACAATGAGCAATTGCAATCTCAAAAAAAGTGCAATCTTCTTCTTCTCCAAGTAATACAAACCACTAGAGTAGACTAGCCAGCTCTTCAGCTTGGTAAACAACTTAATTCCTTGTGTTTTTGCTTATTGTTAACATGTTCACACATGCTTGTCCACGGCACAGCAGAGCTCTCTCAGCTCACCCTCCTACTTCTCAGTTTCACGCAGCATCAATAATAATATTTCTTTCTTCTCAATATCCCATTTCGTATTTGTGACTGCCAAAAAATTAATTTAAAACAATCTCTCTTCAATTGGAATATCTGTTAACAAGCAAATGCAATGATGATGACCCAGTGCTCAAGTTTAATCCCACATTCAGATGTACCAATTTCAGCCGCTATCAGAACTACAATTCCACAACAGTAATACCCAATACAGAAAACAATTCTGCAAATTACCAAAGTGACAATCTTTCTCAAAAATTAAATCATAAGATCAAAATTTCCTGAGCATTTCACAACTACCCACAAACAAATATAGTACCGAAAACGAAACACCCAGTTCTTTAAATCAGTAAAGAAAACATTTTTATCATAATTTGTGCCCAGAAAAGTAATGGAAAATCAGGGAGAGCTCAATATACCTGTTCAGATTGAGACCCTTCTGAGATCAGAGGTTTCTCTTCCTCTTCCAATATGTCTTTACTGTAAAAGATGAATATGAAGATTGAAAAAGCAAATAAAACGATTACATAGAGTGTTATTGAATAAGAGGATGGCTTTCTGGGTAGAAGATTGGCAGTCGATGAGGTTCTACTCTGGCAGTAAC